TCTTCAGCTCAAGGCTAGCACTCTACCACTTGAGCCACAGCGCCACTTCCGGCTTTTTTCTTCTTGCTTATGTGGTGCTGAGGAATCAAACCCAGGGCCTCATGCACACAAGGCAAGCGCTCTACCACTGAGCCACCTTCCCAGCCCTCAAGTCTACTTTTTTATAGCAAAGATAACTAGAAACTTAGGTGAAAAGCCTTCCTTCCTTTTTAGGGAGGACTTAATGATGAGGTAAATTAACTTGACTATTTCTCAATTATCCCCAGCAGTAAACAGGAACATGAACCAGTTTTGACTGAGGGTAACACCAGAACCAAAGGGAAAAGAGAGTCCTGCTCCATCATGCCAGGAAGAGCAGTCTGCTTTCCTCCAGCTAACTGGCTATAAACTTTCTGCATAGAGCTTTATTTAATTCACTGGCTGTAGTAGTAGTGCTACTGAAATTTCCTAAGTATCATAGTCTCCTGTGTCTACTAAACTCAAGTAAACTCAATGTTTTTGTTGTAGATTTACAAAATAAATATACAGTCTGTTACTTTTACCATCTAGACTTAATTCTGGTTTTGACTCTTTTTGCTGCTTTGGGCAGATCAACTCTCTCAAATCTAGGTGCTCACCTAAAAAACAGCAGTAATGGTGTCCTCTTGGCCCCCTGAAGATAGTGCGAAGATCAAACTGAGATGATGCAGAGAAAAGCACTTTGATCTGCACTAAAGTATTGTACATACAACAAGATTACTTGTATTTGCCTCAAGCTTTCTTTATAAACACACATCTCAATTGCATTCAAAGAGAGTCATGGGTGGAGCCAGTGTAGTTCTAGCTTCTAGAGGCTGACACAGGAGGCTCACGGGAGCCCAGGAACTGGAGGCCAGTCTGGACAATAGTAAGACTGAGTCTCTTGAAAATATGAAGACAGGTACCAGTGCCTCATGCCTATAATCCTAGCTACTCAGGAGGCTGAGATCTTAGGATCAGGGTTCAAAAGCCAGCTGGGGCAGAAAAGTCTCTTGAGACTCTTATCTCCAATTAACCACTCAAAAACCAGAAGTGGAGCTGTGGCTCAAAGTGGTAGAGTAGTAGCGTTGAGGAGAGCTTTAGGGACAGCTCTCAGGGCCTGAGTTCAAGCCCTATGAAGGACAAAAAACAAACCAACAAAGTTAACTTCTTTAAAAACAAAGCATCAGGGCTGGAAAGGTGGTTTAGTGGTAGAGTGCTTGTCTAGCATGCAGGAAGCCCTGGGTTCAATTCCTCAGTACCACATAAAAGAGAAAAAAGCCTGAAGTGTCACTATGGCTCCAATGGTAGAATGCTACCATTGAGCAAAAAGAAGCTCAGGGACAGTGTTCAGGTACTGATTTCAAGCCCCAGGACTGGCAAAAAGCAAAAAACAAAAATGCAAGCATCTACATTATAAAATGTAATCACAACTGCTTGGGGCCATCTATATGTAATATATGATGAAATATACCTATGATCAATTTCAAAAAGAAATTTGGAGGGCTGGAAATGTGGCTCAGTGGTAGAATGCTTGCCTAGCATGCACGAGGCCCTAGGTTCGATTCCTCAGTACCACATAAACAGAAAAAGCCAGAAATGGCACTGTGGCTCAAGCAGTAGATCACTAGCCTTGAGCACAGAGAGGCTCTGAGACAGAGCCCAGGCCCTGAGTTCAAGCTCTAGCACCGCAACAAAAAAAAAGAAAGAAATTTGGAAACTTTTTTTTTTTTTAGGTCGTGGGGGCTTGAGCTCTGGACCTGGGCGCTGTCCCTCAGCTCTTCAGCTCAAGGCTAGCTAGGAGCGCTCCACCACTTGAGCCACAGCGCCTCTTCCGGTTCTCTGGTGGTTTATTGGCGATAAGAGTTTCATGGACTTTCTTGCCGAGACTGGCTTTGAACCATACTCCTCGGATCTCAGCCTCCTGAGTAACTAGGTTTATAGGCGTGAGCCACTGGCACCTGGCTTTGGAAACTTTTTTACTCTACTCCTTGTGCACAAATTTTGCTGTAACAAAGTTGACCCAAAAAAGTCTACCATTTGCCTGGATAGTAATTACTTATTTCTTCTACACTGTGCTATGATAATTTCCTGCTATTGAAAGACACTAGTATGCTGTTTTAATTTAGACATATTAAAGAAGTTTCCCAAACACACAATTATATATTAGTAACAAAAAGTCCCCACTTCTTATAAAGGGTGCCAAGAAAAGGAAGAGTACATCTGTGAGCAAGTGTTTAAGGCTTCAAAGTAAAACAAGCAAACGCCACTTCACTACCGTCTGGTGCAGTCAGACTCTGTGCCACTTCGAGCTGCTTTATTAGTGGGATGAAAGTACTGCTTCTCCTTCTTCCTTGTAGTCTCTTCCTGTCATTGGTGACAATGACATTTATCACTCAGATACTGCCTGGCCCTACTTCAGTGGCTTATTCATATGAGGACGTCCCCTAGGTGGACTTCTATAGCCTACAGGCAACACTCTGGCTAATGAGCTCCCCAACATGAGGACATTCCCTTCTGAGTCCACAGCTACCTCAACAGACACATCTAAGACACTGAGGGCTTCCACCAGCCTCCTCAGCTGTGCTCAGCATCCCCGCAGTCCAAACTGCTCGTTTCCCAGGCTCCAAGGCCACCTCCTCCTTCTCCTTCCACTCTTCAGTTCTTCCCAGACAGAGCTCCCTCCCTCAAAGCTGACACTCAAGGCAAACATGGTGCTTTATCTGACCCACTATTCTCCTGGAAGGCTGAGCTCCATCCTCACACTAAAAAATGAAAAAAGGCTGAGTCTTTCAAGAATATTATTCTTAAGTCTCTGTACCATCTAACCTAATGCCTTTACTCCTTTGAATGTACTTGATGTAAACACTTTAGCCTCTTATTTGCTTAATACATATCCTTAAGATCTGTGTCCATTCTCATTTACTGGCTATCTTAAACTACTAGTTACTCCAGACACGGTTTCACCTTGTTTAATGTGCTCAATAATGATCCCTTCCTCAGTGGCCCATGCTAACACACCCTTTCATGATAATGGGATGGTAGTGACCAGTAACTGAGGACTGGAATATCACTGTCCTTTTTTTATTTGGACTAAATTACTTTATGTTCCACATTTGGGAAAGTAAAAGTGCTCCTGTGCCTGTCAAGGGTCAAAACTGGAAAAGGATTGGGGAAAAGTGGTTAGAGACAATCTTTTTTGATAAGCTCTACTGTGATCAGTGGCACAATAATATCTGACCACCAACTAACAGAAACTACTCTGAAGAAGGCCATCCTTTGGGCTCCATCTTGGAAACACCCGAATAGATACAATAGTACAAGCCTTCTTCAGTCTTATTAATTTGTCCATGCTTTTAAGAAAAAAAATCTACAATAACTTCCACAATAGCCAGGCTGCAAAGCCATTCAAGTTACCAGTGTTAGGAACAAAGCTTCAAAGCTGACTGCTTGGTGTGACTTATATTTTCTGATTAAAGACTTTTCACTCCAACATGGCAAGATTAACAAAGCAAAGGAGATCTGTTCAATGGAAGGGTATTCAAACTGTTGTCATATTCACATTTCTCAATTCAGTAACTTGACTCTATAAAATGAATGTCAAACTTAAATTTTAATTAGTGATTTCTTTATCCCCGAGAATCATTACTCTTTCCCACTAATGAACACATTTCACCTCAACAAGACAAAAAAAAAAAATCTCCTTAAAACTGTTTTTTTAAAAAAATCATCTCTCCTTTCTACATTAGCAATATTACATGCTGCCTTTCATGACTGGTTTCCAGGAACTATATTCAAATTGAATCCACCAAATTCAAGTTTTATTTCAACAGCAGAAGAAAGATTTAAAAAATACATCACTGGTCAGTGGAAGAAATAGCTCCATAAGTTAAACGACTGTTTCTGGAGCAAATCTGAAGGCAGCAATGTAATTCAATTTGGACCCACTCATCAAAAACTGATTTTCAGATGCCACTACTCCGAGACTACAGGAGAAACGCTAGCTGCGCTGAGACTGCATTGTTCCCAGCAGAGATCAAGTTTTTACTGCAAAGGTGAGCTTAAAAGAAAAATACAAATAGTTGGTAATGTTACCATGAAGCAATCTAGAAGACCCCAGAGTTACTGAATGAGCGGCCGTATCTCCTGGACACCTGATATGATAACCTACGAAAATGTCCAGCGAAGTTGTTTAGTGGGAGGGAGAGGGGGAGGGAGGAGAGGGAGATGATTTAAGTCAATATCAGGTTCAATTTCTGGAAAAATTCTAGTCCCTACATTACTTGACACGGTTTTTGTTGTTGTTGTGGGTCTAAAGAAAAAAAAAAATCAACGCGAACTCAAAGGGCAGCAAGGATGCCCAAAATGGGCTGAAAAAATCTCCCAACTTTCTTTGGAAGTTACCTAGGTAAATTCAAACGCGCCACAGCAACTCGGGTGATGACATCTTGTTAATGAAGTTTGGGTATTTAAAGAAAAGAGAGAGAGGGGAGAGCGAGAGCGAGGGAGTAACGAGATGGCCAGAAGAAGAGAGAGAGAAAGGAGAGAGAAGGAGAAGCGAGTTTCCCGACACTGCTCGGCCCCCCCCCCCCCCCCCCCAGGAACACATTCCAAGAAAACTTCGCAGTCGCAACTCGGCAGCCTCTGGCGGCTGGGTCCGCGGACTGCGGCGCGGGAGCGGCGGCCGGGGCCGGAGCCCGCCCGGGCCCCGCCGCTGTCAGCGCGGCCGGCCACGCGTGCGGACGCCGGGCCGCCCCCCGCCACACACACGCACGCACGCACACGCACACACACACACACCCCGCTTCACTTTTCCTCCCCGGAGCGCCCGGGCCTGCCCGCGAGCAGGGCCGGTCCCGGCCGGGGAGGCCCGGCGTCGGATCGCGGGCGAGCCTCGGCCGGCCGGCCCCCGGGGCCTCCCGCCACGACCCCCACCCCCCCCACCCCACGACGGGCTCCCTCCCCGCGGCGGGGCGCTGACAGCGCGCCGGGCTCCGTCTCACCTGTGCTGTCATTCGCTGAGAAGCCGGGCGAGCTGAGTTTGGCTCGTTTCGGGTTGGGCGGTCCGTCCAGCAAGTTCTCGGCCATCTTCACCTGCTTCGCGGGATGCGCCCCGAGCGCGGGCGGCCGGCCGGCAGGCAGCAGAGGCCGAGGGGGTCCGGCCGGCGACTGCGAGCGAGCGAGCGAGCGAGCGAGCTCCGGAGCGCAGGAGCGCGGGCCGGGCCGGGCCGCGGAGGGCGCAGGCCGGGTGGGGGAGGCGGCGGCCAAATCTCAGCCTCAGCAACAGCGCCCCGCAGCGCTCACCGCCCGCCCCCGGCCGCCGCCGCCGCCGCCGGCCGCGGCCCCCTCATCCCCTGCCCGCCTTCCGAGCGCGACACTCCGCGGCGGGGGCGCCCCGGCGGCCCGGCCGCCCCCCCGGGCCCGGCTGGCAGCGACGGCGCCCGGCCCGGCGGCTCAGGCGGCGCCCGGGAACATGGTGCCGCCGCCGCCGCCGCCGCCTCGTTCCCCCCCCCCCCCGCGCCCCACTTAATGAATTCGCCCGCGGCCCGACGACCGGGGGGCTCCGGGCTCCGACGCCCGCCCGCGGCCCGCCGCCGCCGTGAGGAAAAACAATGCGCCGAGCGGGGCCGCCGCCGCGCCGCGGCCCCCCCACCCCGTGCCGCCGCCGCCGCCGCCGCCGCTGCCGCCGCCGCCGCCGCCGGGCTCCGGGAGGCCGAGCCGAGAGGCGAGCGGGGCCGCCGGGGCGGGCGCCGAGGGCCGGGCGGAGCGGGCCGGCCGGGCGGAGCGGGGTGCGCGGGCGGTTGTGGGGCCCGGGACCGGCGGGGCCGAGTAGATCGCGCTCGAAGCCCCGGTCGGGTCCGCGACAAGATGGCGGCTGTTGATTCCTCAATTAAAAAAAAAAGAAAGTTTTTTTTCTTCTCTTTCCAGAGCCTGAACGGGGAGGGGGAGGGGGCGGGGCACGCCGGTGCGTCACCCCCCCGCGGCGTCACCACGCACGGCCCCCGCCCCGCCCCCTCCACCTGCGCCGGCCGCGGCGGAAAGAGCCGAGCGCGCTCGGGCGGCGGAGCCGAGGGCGCGGCGGCGGCGGCGGCCGTGCGTGGGGCGCCGGCCGGCGGCGCCGGGGCCCGGCCTGAGGGAGACGCGGCCGGATCGCGGACCGAGCCGCCGCCGCGGCTGCTGTTCCGGGGGCAGCCCGGGCCGGGCGTGCGCGGGGAGGCGGCCTGGCCGCGGGCCGCGCCCCGAGGCGCGAGCGGAGCCGGCGCCGGCCGGCCGGCTTGGGGCTGCTCCGCCGGCCCCCGGCTCCTCGCCTCCCTGCCCGCGACCCTCCCCGGCGACTTCGGGCGACGATGACCGGGAAGAGCGCAGCCGGGGCCGCGCCACGGCCCCTCGCCCCTGTGCCGGCGACTGTGCGACTCCGCAGGTTACCGACCGCCCCCGGGGAAACCCGGGAGGAGTGCGTGCGTGCGGGCGGGGAAACTGAGGCTGGCGGGAGCGCACCTTCCCCAAGGTCACCGGGGGAGGACGCGACCGAGCGAGATTCGAGCTCGAGCCCTCCCCTAGCGAAGCGAGGGGGGATCCGGGTCCGACCCGGTCACCTGCAAGAAGGCGGGAGCGGGGGGGGGGGGGCGGAGAAGACGCCGCCATCGGGGCTCAGGACCCCGGCGTCCCGGGGCGCCCCCGCCGCGGACAGCCAGGCGTGGGGTTGCGGGTTGCCCGTCGCTGCCCACGGGACACAGCCACAAGAACTAAGGTCTTCCCCTCCCCGTTCCCTCTCCAAACTTGCCGGTGATTCCTGAACCGGACACCTTGAGGTGAGGGCGCCCCCCTATCCCCCCCCCCCCCCCCGTGCCTCCAGCCTTTACCTGGGAAGCAGTTCCTCCCCCACCCCACGCTGCTGCCCCGCTGTCGTCTCGCAGCTCCAGTCCCAGTCCCGCAGCTAAGGGGTGATTGCTCACTTGAAGAGTTCCTTGGCACCACGTGGCCATGGAGTTAATGTCCTGAAATAAAAGAGAGGGGGGGAAAAAAAAAGGAAGAAAAATGTCCAGAGCAAATAGCTTCTCTACATAGTCTAAGAACACACATGAAACCCAGTTGTCTGCCAGTGATCGGCATACATGTTCCCATTTGTATGTGCTGCCCACCCCTCTTGCCTGTCTCTCTGGGTCACCGCCAGCACCCCACACCCACTGGGCTACTAGGTGGTTCTCGTCAGTCATGCCATTCTATACTTTTGTAGATTCCAGCAAATGTTACTTACTAACACATGACTGGCAAACCATTCATCCTCCAAGACCCAGTTCAGATGTCACCTCTAGGAGGAAACCCTTCCAGTCCAAGGCAAACTCTTAAGAGAAGACCTATAACACAACCCCTTCCCTCCCACCCCCATCCATTCACGTTTTTATTTATTCATCAGCTATCTTGAGACTCTCCCTAAGGCATTGCCACTGCGCTAAATCCCTGGGCAAAGTATAAAGAAATCCCAATGCACTCTATTTGAAGAGTTAAAGTAACAAGCCCTGGGAATCACACTGAAATATTACAAAAGAAGTCCATCTGAGCTAGGCTGAACTGCTGCAGTCCTGTAATTACTCACTACTCAGGAGGAAAAGCAGGAGAGGAGGATGAGTTTGAGGCCAGCCCAGGCAAGAGATAAAGGAGATCCTGTCTCAAAAACAAAAGGCTGTTGGGCACCAGTGGCTCCTCACTTGTAATCTACTCTGGAGGCTGCAATCTGAGGATCATATAGTTCACGAAGTCAGTCAGGAGGCTGGGAAGGTGGCTCAGTGGTAGAGTGTTTGCCTTGCATGCATGAGGCCCTGAGTTCATTCCTCAGCACCACATAAACCGAAAAGGCCGGAAGTGGCGCTGTGGCTCAGCTGAGGGACAGAGCCCAGGCCCAGAGTTTAAGCCCCATAACCAACAACAACAAAAAAGTCAGGGGAAGAAAGTTGATGAGGGCTGGGAAGGTGGCTCAGTGGTAGAGTGTTTGCCTTGCATGCATGAAGCCCTGCATTCAATTCCTCAGTACCATATACACAGAAAAAGCCGGGCGCTGTGGCTCAAGTGGTAGAGCGCTCACCTTGAGCTGAAGAGCTCAGGGACAGTGCCCAAACCCAGAGTTCAAGCTCCATGACTGACAAAAAAAAAAAAGAAAGTCCATGAGACTTTCATCTCTAATAAACTACTCAGAAAAAGCTGGAAGTGGAGCTCAGTGTTGGAACCATAGCCTTGAGCAAAAAGAAGCTCAGGGACATCACCCAGGCTGAGTTCAAACCCTAGGACTTGCATAAAAAGGGGGGAGGGGGGCTGGAATTGTGCCTCAAATGGTAAAATGCTGGCCTAACAAGCGGAATGACTGTCAGGAAAGGCAGGAAGTACAAGGAGTCACAGAGTGACACAGAGCAAGCTGCACAGTTGCACGTGAAGTACCCTAGCTGGCTGTCTAACCAGGGGGCTTTGAGCCCCTTGAGAGCAAGGGCTATGTCTGGGTCACAGTACAGTGCGCAGCCAGAAGTAGATATGTAAATATAATGAATGAGGAGCTTTGGCTAAGAGGTAGTATGCAAATATACCTCAGGGGCATGCCCAGGCCCGGAATTCTAGCCCCAGACTGGCATGGGGGGTGGAGGAGAACAAAAACTCTCAAAGAATGAGTGAGTGAACAGTGTCAGATCCCCTGAGTCCTAGAGGTCACTGAGATTGAGTGGGTCTACCGTAAGCAGTGCCAGGCTACTGCCCCACAGAGTGGACAGGTACCCAGCCACAACAGAAGAAGCCTTAGCTAAGACCTAACCCAAGGGCAACAGGGACACCGCGGAGCTCCCCTCCCCCTGGAGCTCCTTGATAAATAGTTCACACAGCAGTGTGTGCAGGACCCCTAACTCTGGTCTTGCTAGTGAGCAGCTTTGAGTCACACTTGATTTCACAGTGGAGAAAGCTGGGGGGACCCAGTCCCCACAATGCGGAATGGATATGTCAAGGGCCAAGCCTGGATCGTAAGTTTTCCAGCTCCAAACCTCCCATTCTTCTGCCTGCCCAGGCCCAAACCTAAAACACTTCTACTGGGAAGAATCCATTCCTATCTCCATCAGTTCCCCTGGTACTTCCTGGCACTTACCTACCTTTTCTCTTTCTCCATTCAGTCCCCTGACCTCTGGCACAGCTGTGGGGACAGAACAGGGGAGATGTGGGTCCTGCCCAGGGGGTCACAGCTAACCACAGAGGGCCTTGAGTGGGCTGGGCCACTGCCGCCACAGGTGAGTAGCACTTCCCACAGGCCTGGGGGGGGGGGGGGGAGGAGTGTTAGCATTTCCCAGAGGAAAAGAGCGGAGGACACTAGGGGCTTCAGCATGGTACACATCTAAGACTGCCTCCTCTTCCCACAAGCCATAGTGGCTTGAGGGTCCCAGACTGCACTAAATGACCAAGGAATGCTTTGGTCATGTCTCCAGGGTCAAGAGAAGAAGGTGGGTACATAAAAGAATGAGGGGTGGGATGGGCTGGGAAGGTGGCTCAGCGATAGAGTGCTTGCCTTGCATGCCCTGGGTTCGATTCCTCAGCACCACATAAAGCAGAAAAAGCCGGAAGTGAAGCTGTGGCCCAAGTGGTAGGGCACTTGCCTTAAACTGAATAGCTGAGGGACAGTGCCCAGGCCTAGAGTTCAAGCTCCATGACCGACCAAAAAAAAAAAAAAAAAAGAATGAGGGGTGGGAATAAATCAGTAAATCAGGAAAAGTTTCTGAGAAAAGTTCATTGGAGACTGGGAAGGTGGCTTAGTGGTAGAGTGCTCGCCTAACAAGCATGAAGCCCTGGGTTCAATTCCTCAGTATCACATAAACAGAAAAAGCCTGAAATGGTTCTATGGTTTTTTGAGCACAGAGAAGCTCAGGGACAGAGCCCAGGCCCTGAGATCAGCCAAAAAAAAAAAGGAAAGGAAGAGAAGAAAAGAAAGAAAGAGAAGAAGAGAAAGGGGGAGGTAGAGAGGGAGGGAAGGGAAGGGAACAGAGGGGAGGGGAGGGGAGGGAAGGGAAGGGAACAGAGGGGAGGGGAGGGGAGGGAAGGGAAGTCAGTTGAACCCATCAGCTGAGGAATGGTGAACACAGTGGAATGGGATTTGGCCATGGAAATAAGACATACTGCCGGCGCTGGTGGCTCACACCTGTCATCCTAGCTACTCAGGAGGCTGAAATCTGAGGATCGAGGTTCAAAGCCAGCCCGGGCAGGAGAGACCGTGAGACTCCTATCTCCAATAAACCACCAGAAAACCGGAAGTGGCGCTGTAGCTCAAGTGGTAGAGCACTAGCCTTGAGCTGAAGAGCTGAGGGACAGCGCCCAGGCCCAGAGTTCAAACCCCACAACCAACCAAAAAAAAAGAAAAGAAGATATACTAACACCTGCTACAACATGGATGAACCCCCAAATCACATGCTCAGAGACAAAATAAAAATTTTGTTTTGAATACTCAGACATTTGACATAAATGGCACATTGCGTGATTCTGGAAATTGCTTTTTGGCAATCAACATCATGAATTTTTCTTACGGTATGGGGGTTGAGTTGGCTAAGTAGGCACTCTATCACCTAAGCCATAATATCAGCCTTTTTTGTTTTTGGTCGGTCATGGGGCTTAAACTCTGGGCCTGGGCGCTGTCCCTCAGCTCTTCAGCTCAAGGCGAGCGCTCTACCACTTGACCCACAGTGCCACTTCCAGCTTTTTCTGCTTATGTGGTGCTGAGGAATGGAACCCAGGGCCTCATGCATGCAAGGCAAGCACTCTACCACTGAGCCCGTGTGTGTGTGTGTGTGTGTGTGTGTGTGTGTGTGTGTGTGTGTGTGTGTGTGTGTGTGTGTGTGTGTGTGTGTGTGTGTGTGTGTGTGTGTGTGGTGTGTGTCGTGTGGCTTGAACTCATGGGGCTTAGGCACTGTCCCTGTGCTCTTCAGCTCAAGGCGAGGGCTCTACAACTTGAGCCACAGCACCACTTCCAGTTTTCTGGTGTTTTATTGGATATGAGTCCCATGGAGTTTCCTGCCCGGGCTGGCTTTGAACTGTGTTCCTCTCATCTCAGCCTCCTGAGTAGCTAGGATTACAGACATGAGCCACCAGTGCCTGGCTTGCCTTAGTTATTTTTGAGGTAGAGTTTCACTTTCTGGCTGAGCTGGATTGGACTGTGATCTATTATTACTTCCCTTTGTCACTGGGAAGACGCAGTGACACCTGCCACTGTGACCAGCCATTGGATGAGATGGAGTCTCATGAATTTTTATCTCAGCCTGGCCTTGAACCACAAAGCCTCAACCTCTGGCCTCCCAAGTAGCTAAGATTACAGGCATGAGCCACTGTGCCTGACCAATTTTGTTATGTGGCTGGTTTTGTTCCTGATAGGTATTTTGGGCACAAGATAGCCTTCTCTACTTTGATTTCATAAAGATAGATTCCCTGATTTCTTTCTAGAAAAGCATTTTTCTTTTCTCATTCAGATGTTTGATGCATTTGAGGGGGCCTGTGTGCATGTGTGCATGGGGTTTGGGGTAGATATAACTTCTTTAGAGCCACTTCCTTATGGAATACACTATCCTTTTCTCTGTGACTCTTAATATAACTTTTAGACCCCAGTCCTCTTAATTCTGTTGGATTGGCCAATTTGTATTTCTGCACCAATATAATGTTTCAATGTTTCCAATTTAGAGTAACTACTGAGTAACTTCTTCCATCACTCTTTCTTTTCAGAATTGGCTTTTTTTTTTTTTTCTTGTAGGACATGGGGCTTGAACTCTGGGGCTTGGGCACTGTCTCTGTGCTCTTCAGCTCAAGGCAAACACTTTACTGCTTGAGCCACTTCCAGTTTTCTAGTGGTTTATTGGAGGTAAGAGTTTCACGGACTTTTCTGCCTGGGCTGGCTTTGAACTGTGGTTCTCAGATCTCAGCCTCCTGAATATAGGATTATAGGCATGAGCCACTGGCACCCAGCTTAGAATTGGCTATTTTTTGCCTCTTTACTTTTCCATAGGAATTTAAGGTCAGTTTGACAAGGGCCCATTTCTGTGGGATTATATTGAATTTGTACATTCATTTCAGAGAAAGTTGCTCTGTAAAGAAACAGTGCTTCTTCTTACCAGTTATTAGGCAAATAGGGCAAAAGAACACAGCATTCAATACTACAAAATGTCACCAGATAAATCCAAACTGTGGGATACTGCAAGAAAAATACTTGGCTTCTTTAACAAATAAATGTCAAAGAAGAAAACATAATGAAAAAAGGGAGAAACTATAGATTAAGAGATTTAAGGGGCTGGGAAGGTGGCTCAGTGGTAGGATGCTTGCCTTGCATGCATAAGGCCCTAGGTTCGATTCCTCAGCACCATATAAGCAGAAAAAGCCGGAAGTGGTGTTGTGGCTCCAGTGGTAGAGCACTAGCCTTCACTAGCTGAAGAGCTGAGGGACAGCACCCAGGCCCAGAGTTCAGGCTCCATGACCGACAAAAAAAAGAGAGAGAGAGATTTAAGCAATATTGCAAGAATGCAGTTGCATTCTGAACCTTGCATGAATCCTGATCCAAATAAATTCAGATAACAATAATGAGACAGTTCACCTGAAATGGAAACAGACTGGCTAGGATTGGTACTGGGAAGCTACTGTTAATGTGGGTGTATACATCACAGGTTCATGCCTGTAGTTCTAGCTATTTGGGAGGCTGAAATCTGAGGACTATGGTTCAAAGCCAGCCTGCGTAGACAGTCTGAGAGGAGACTCATCTCCAATTAACCAGAAAAAAGCTGATCTGGAGGCCTGGCCCAAGTGGTAGAGTGCTAGCCATGGTCAAAAAGGCCAACCGAACATGAGTTCTGGAGCTCAAGTCCTAGTACCAGCAAGTGTGCGCATGAACACACACACACACACACATTTTACTGTTGTTTTTTAAACTGTGATATTGTGATTATGTGTTTTAAGTAGCTATCATGTCTTAGAAGCATAAGTTAAAATATGGTCAAAATGTAATTTGATAATATGCAAATACATATGATAAAGTATAAAGGGTTGGAGTGACAGATGAGGCAAGATAAGCCAGGAATTAACTAGTAATTGAAGCTGAGTGATGAGCATGAGAAGATTCTTTACATGGCTCTCTGTACTTTTGTGTATTTTGACAATTTCCATAATAAAAGGTTTAAACATTGAAATTTGAATCTTATCAATCACAGATATGTTATAACTGTTCATTTAAGTTTTTTTTCTGTCTTGCAATAAGACTATCTAATTTTTTCCATCAGGTCCTTTTTACATCTTTAGCCAATCCAAAAAAATTGCTAAACTATTTTTAGTTCTAATTTTACTTTATTGTTTTGAGTGTGGGTGTGGATGTATATGCCCTTACTAGGGCTTGAACTCAGGACCTACAGACTGTCATTTATTTATTTATTATTGTGAACATACTGTACAGAGGGGTTATAATTACATGGGCTCATTTATTTATTTATTTTTATTTTTGGGGGGGGGGGGAGTCCAGTCATGGGGTCTGAACTCTGGGTCTGGGCGCTGTCCCTCAGCTCTTCAGCTCAAGGCTAGCACTCTACCACTTGAGCCACAGAGCCACTTCTGACTTTTTTATTTTTGCTTATGTGGTGCTGAGGAATTGAACCCAGGGCCTCCAGCATGCAAGGCAAGCGCTCTACCACTAAGCCACCTTCCCAGCCCCAGACTGTCACTTAGCTTTCTTGCTCAAGACTAGCACTGTACCATTTGAGCCCACAGCTCCACTTCGAGCTTTTCTGGTATTTAATTGGAGATAAGAGTCTCATGGACTTTCCTGCCCAGGCTGGCTTGGAACCATGATTCTCAGATCTCAGCCTCCTGAGAAGCTAAGATTACAGGCATGAACACTGGCACCCAGCTTTGCACTAATTATTTTTCTCTAGAATCTCTTGGGAGTTTCTATGTAGACTATTGTTTTTTGTTTTGTTTTGTTTTCCTTTCTTCTCTTTTCTTTTGCCAGTCCTGGGGCTTGAACTCAGGGTCTGGGCACTGTCCTTGAACTTCTTTGGCTCAAAGCTAGCACTCTACACTTGAGCCACAGCACCACTTCCAGCTTTTTCTGTATATGTGGTACTGAGGAATGAAATCAGGGCTTCATGCTTGTTAGGCAAGCACTCTACCACTAAGCCACATTCCTAGCCCTATATAGACTATTGAAGCACATGTTTAAAAAGAAAACAATGGCTGGGAATGTCAGGGACAGTGACCAGGCCCTGAGTTCAAGCTCCAGGACTGGCAAAAAGAAAAGAAAAGAAAATTGTTTCTCCTCTCCCATAGATATAGCTTCCACTTCATTGCCTTGGGATTCATTGCTGGCCAGACAGAGCCTCTAGAACAACACTGAATACAGTGTATAGACATTGTACATGTACACAGTGTGTATTCAACATGATACAGTACTGCTGTTTACAGAAGCTTTGGTGTTTTGTTCCTGGCTTGAGTAAGGCTAGTCATTTTATAAGCTTCTTCATTTATTTGCCAACAGTTATGGAAGACGTTTGATGTACCAAGTGCTGGGGAAGTACTCTAGCGAACTTTATGTTGCTGTGACAAACTACCTCAGAGAATTAACGTTGGCCCTGACTCCATTGCTTCTGGGCCTGTGGCAAGGCAGAAATGTCATGGTAGAAGGGCGTGGCAGGGGAGACCTGCTCAGGTCATAGCATCCAGGAAGCAGAGAGTGAACAAGGAAGAGGCCCAAAACAGGCAATGTCCTTCCAGTCACTGCTTCCTACCTACGAAGTTTCCAACGCCTCAACAATGCCATGGAGTTTTCAGTCCATCAGTGGAATCCATTGATAAAAGTCAGAGCCTCAACAGTTCAATCAATTCCTCAGAGTCTCACCTCTGTTTTTCTTTGGGGGGAGTGGGGAGACACTTTATACCCAAGCCATATAACAGACTCCTTATACAGTGAGCAAAATAGAGATCACTGCTCTCACAGACCTTACATGCTAATGGGCACTGGTGGCTCATGCCTGGATCTTAGCTACTCAGGAGGCTGAGATCCGAGGATCATGGTTCAAAGCCAGCCCGGGCAGGAAAGTCTGTGAGATTTTTATCTCCAATTAACCACCAGAAAACCAGAAGTGGTGCTGTGGCTAGGCTGGCAGAATGCTTACCTTAAGCTGAAAAGCTCAGGAACAGTGCCCAGGCCCAGAGTTCAAGCCCCATGACC